TCCTCTTTTCTTTCTTTCTTTCTTTTTATATTGACAGTTTGTTTAATTTTGTGAAGAAGATTGCCTTAGTGTGAGAAAGACAGTATTCTTTTGTGGATAGGTTTTGTTGTTTTAGAGTTGTGCACATTGTTTTGTTTTTTTCGGTATATAGGCAGAAAAAGTGCCAGTTTGTGCCAAAACCTCAAGAAGTACAGATAACAAGGAGCTGAGTGAGAGGGACGCCACAACACCATGACAAAGATATGGGCTGTCTAAGCAAAGAGCTTTACGAATGATGATCTCTGGGGGAAAGGGTGGGGGTGGGGACGGGGGGACTCAAGGAGCAAGGAGGAGGGGAGGAAAAGAGGAGTGAGGATGGAGAGGGGGAGATGAGAGGGGAAACATTCCCTCTTGCCCACATTAAAGACATAAAAAAGAAAACAAACAGAAAAACATGTCTGACATAAAGAGGCTGGTTTCCGCGGTGACAGCACAATGACTGCCTGTGGCTCTTGGGGCCCTTACCATCCCGTCTGGGGCCCGGCACCAGTGAAAGTCACCGCAGCCAAAGGACCCATCAGTGTGTGTGTGTGTCTGTATGTGTGTTTGTGTGTGTGAAACATGGTGAATGTCATCACAGGCCCAGTGCTGTGGGAACCGCCATGAAAAGAACCCCACTCGGCAGCCACAAAAGCTCCTTTCTGCTTCTTTTCTTCAGCTTTTAGCCTCTTTATTTATTTTATCTTTGCTTAGGGGAGCCGGATGAGGAGGGAGGGCTCACTCTCACTCTCTCTGTTCTCTCTCCGTGTCTCTTGTCTCTTGCTGCCTGACAAGCAGCACCACCCATCACTGCAGCCCTCCTGCCTGCTTGACACCTCACATCACAGCAGCCATTGTCTTACACATATATGCTGACTGTGTCCCTGGAGGTTTATTCATACTTCATATCAGCTCAATCCGTTTATAAAAACAGAATACAGGTCTTTGGAGACACCCATTAGTAACAAACCTGGAGTTCCAGGGAATACCTCGTATATCCACTTTATTTCGAGTGAAATGTAGCGATGGCCAGACAGGCAGTGCCATAGGTCCCAGGCATCCCTTATGTGTCTGAAGGGCAGATAATTCCCTCATGGGTCCATCCTGGACAGTGCCAAACTATTCTAATGCTAGTTCCCATGCCAATCTAATCTCGACTCCAGTGACCAAGTGCTCAGACACAGGCTGACTATTATAAAGGCCTTATAACCATAAGGAACTGACCAATTTTTTGGATATATGTCTGTTACATACAGCAGGGCAACATTCAGGGCTCCTTTGACCACATTTGGCCTTTCACAAATTCTCCACAGGGATGAACATTCCATTAGCTTTATGTTATCATTTTAGTGTTAAATTTGCCATGCTTTTGATTCACCTCAGTTGTAATTCTTGTATACAGTATGGTATTGACACCAGTACTGTGTGTACTTGTGTACTTTTGTGAGAAATAAAAATTGCTTCATATATTTTGAAGTTGATGTGATTTCTTTTTAACACTGGAGTGTTCACATCTTAGAAAATAATATTGTTGAAAGTTGTTTTTCTTCTATTTTTTTTTTTTCTTGCTGAGAAACTGTGCAAATAACCTAACTCAGCCATTCAGTGTGACAAGTCTGATCAAATATTCAGTTAGACATAAATGAAGAGAAAAGGTCACAAACAAAATGTCCTGCTAAGCTGGTTCCAGCTCACAGACTTTCAAACAATGGTAGTAGTCATGCATCAGAAACAATAATTGCAGCTGAGTGTTTGTGTCTTATAAATTGTGGGAATGCACTGTCCACATTCGTGTGAGCAACTTGCATGTGTGTGTTTGAATGAATTAGTTCATGGCCGTGGCTGTGGACTGCATGCCCCTGAGCATTCACACGTTCATTTTTGAGTTGTGCATGCGTGCGTGCCTGTGCAAATTGTAAAAGTATGAACTTGTTAATTTCAGTGAGGGATGTCGCCTTGTTGTGGTTTGGAGGGATGGGAGGGAGATGACTTGAAGTGGCCAACCGAAATCGCCAAAAATCTCCCAGAATTCCATCCCACCATCTAATGCCAGCTCTCTTTCTCTCTCATATTTCTCTCCACCATCCTCCCTTCATACACCCCTACCATGAAACCATCTTCATAGTTAACTTTTTTATTATTGATCTTCTTAATTACTTTCCACTTCGTGCGTGTTTTGCATGCAACTTGCCTCATGCTGGAACAACTGTGAAGTGTGGCTGACCTAAATCAATGAGTGAAACCAGAGTGATTTCATTAAAAAAAGATTCATGATGCAGGGGATAAAGTTAGTCTTTGAAGACAGGGGCGGATGGATGACAAAAATAACAACAGAGACTGAAGCCTGACTTCATACATGTCTCTTTTCCTTCAGACTCTTTCTTCCCTGTTTTCTGGCGTTGAAATGAGATCCAGAGCTGAATTATGGAATGATTGGTAATGAAAGGATATGTGGACAGGGGAGTTGTTTGGAAGAGGAGGAGGTTGGGTGGGGAAGAAAGAGGGATTTCTCTTCTCTGTTAGTCCTGACTCAGATTCACCACAATATAAGCCCCCCTGGTGATGGTCGCACTGATTACTGACACTTGGGTATTACAAATGCACGCACTCACACATGTTTTGTGTTAGTTTATTACTTTATATGTATGATGTGATAAAATGCAGGTGGGAAAGGCTCAGCTTCAGTGAATGTAAATGAGATAAACAGAAACACTTGGAGTAAGAGAAATAAAACAAAATATACTCGATTTTATATACAAAGAGTTCAACACAATTTACAGGAACAAAACAAGTACAAAAAAGACAGTTTTACTTGTCCAAGAAAACGTACACAAAGATCTTGCATTGTAGTATGTTTAAACTAACACACCCTTCCTTTCTGCCAGGCAGGAAGAAACACACTCAGCTGGGCATTGTGTAGAAGGGGGCATGCCACTTGGCCTCTCTCTCTCTTTCACACACACATATGCACACACTGGTGGATCAGTCAGGCATCACTCCTAACAACCGGCGCCTGGGTCTCGGGTTTCCATGGCGAACTGTGCCAGCAATCTTCCCACGGTGGCAGCAGAACCTAGCGTTAAGTGTTGCAAGGACCATGGTTTTGAGTATGTCTGTGTGTGTGAGTGCACTCAAAGCACTATCATGTCTGGTGAAGAGCCCAGATGTTCAGACACTCACTAGGCTGATTCCTCTCTTAACCCCTCATCTCTTGGCCTCATCTCTGGACACACTGACACATGCACACAAAACTTAAAAGTGTGGAAAAAGTTTAAACATCAGCACCTGAGTTTGTGTTTTCTAAAACACAAGGATTTTTTATGTTGTGATTTCAGCAATACAACTGCTAAGTCTGGATCAAAACACACCCTTTCAACACCTAATATGTAGTAATTGCACAGTTTGTGAATCCTCTGTAATTCCCAGCCACAGGTGCAGTACTTGCAACCCAACTGAAAAGCTAGAAATAATAAATAAATTGTTGAAATAATTAATCAACAATTTATAGTTAGCTAAATGTAAGGGGTAAATATTTGAAATACCTAACAGCAGGCAAAACAGTTCATTTTCTACTGCTTAGTCCCTGCCAATCCCATCCAGTGAAGGTAAGGTACACCCTGGACAGGTTGCCAATCCATTGCAGGGCTAACACATAGATAAACAACCACACATGCACTCCTATGGGCAATTTAGAGACACCAGTCAACCTAAGCTGCATGTCTTCTGACTGTGGGAGGAAGATGGAGTACCTGGAGAAAACCCACACAAGCACAGGGAGAACATGCAAACTCCACACAGAAAGGTCCCAGGTCGGGCCCGAACCCAGAACCTTCTCACTGTGAGGCCACGGTGCTAACCACTGCGCCACCGTGCTGCTGGCACAGTAGTTTAAAGCGACTAATACCACTAAAAGTAAATCAGATAGTTGACATTGTTATCTGAAAGTGATTAATAAGTTGAAATAACTCACTTCTTTGCTGAAAATAAAAACAAAGTTGAAATAACTGACTACAGCTAATGCATAAAAAGTTAAAAGAATTAATATAAAGTTGAAACAGTAATGAATAACAGTTAAAATATAGCTAGAAATAAAACACAGTTGGAATAGTTAGCTAAAAGTCATGCATAAAAAGTTGGCATAGCTAGCTAGAAATAAACTAACAAACTATTTCAGTGGTTAACTAAAAAATAATGGATAAAATTTTCAAATGGTTAGTTTCTACCTCTCCAGGTAGTAGTAGCACTTGTGCAAACTTGGCCAAAACAACCTAAACTTTAATTGTTTCAAAACTAGTGTACTGTAGCAGTAGCTGCCTTATATAATTCAACACTGCTAAATAATCCATTTGTAAGAACAGGTCCATGGTGGGTAGTCCTGATGAAGGGAAAAAAAGACAAAAGGGGCTAGAAACCACTAGTATAAATTATTTAGCAATTTATTAAGCAGCAATAAAGCAATATGAAGCATTGTTTAAGGATAACAAAAAAGATTTATGATTTTCTGTTTTGTCATCATATTGCAGATCACAGCTGCCGAGATCATGAATTGTTTTATAGTGTGTTTTTTGTCTGCTGTTGGTCTCTCACACTCAAAATTAACTCAGTAACTCCTTTCTCCAATTCACCAGTGTTACTGTGTGAGAATAATGTATTGAGTGTATTGTCACACACTCATCTGTAAATGATGGAGTGTTTTCACAGTTCATCATTCCCACTCTCCTTACTTCACTCCTTCCCTCCCTCCCACTGGTATTTATCTACAAACCAGTATAATTAAAGGACCAGAAAGAAAAAGAAAGGAGAATTGAAGCAAGAAAGGAAGGAGAGCAGGATGAGACTGGAGGCTAATTGACTGAGGATAACTGAGCAAAAGGGTAATAAGATGGGGTCAAGAGAGTAGGGAGGGAAGGAGGGTGACAAGTCAGGGAAAGGCAAATTAAAAGGAGGGAGGAGGCACAGGGAGAGGAGGCGGGGGAGCCAAACTGGCAACCCTGCCCCAACTGCCCAAGTCCTATTCTGTCATTGGGTGGCTGTGACAGGGTGAGGGAGCCAACAGAGAAAGCGAGTGAGAGACTATGATTGGATGCCAGTGATAGAGTAAAGCAGCTAGCAGCTTGTGAATTTTCTTAGTTGTCATGGGCCCTTGGGGGTCGATCAAGTGGCACCGCTGACTCACAGAGGAAAGGACAGAAGACACATAAAGGAACAACAACAACAACAAAACAAATGCAACTGTCAAATAGTAACTAAGGACAACAAGGCTTTTATAAGTAACAGTGCAAGAGAACCAGGGAGGAGACGGTCTTCCTCCACAGAGCAGCGAGAGCGGCTGAGAAGATCACCCAAATCCATCAGACCAGCATCCATCTGTCAGTTCATCCAGCCAGTGAGGAAAGGGCCAAGAAATGAAGAGACCTCACGACTACAGCTCCCCAGACTCTGACACGGACGAGTTTATTGATGTGGGACAAGAAGACAGCTACTGGTGAGCATCTGCCAGCCATACCTGAAATTTTATCACATGCTCTCTAGTTAAAATGACATGGTATCCATGTATATTTAGTAGCTCAAGACAATTTTGCTTTAAACCTATTTGACAGTGAACTGTAAGTATTTTAGATGCTGCTATGCACAAGTTGAAAGACTGCTGGAAATATTTCAAAGTCTGATGCAATTTATAAAGCTATAATGAAAAATAAGAGGGTCCTACTTTCAAAGGGCTTCTGCTTTCAGTAATTTTTATTTTTTGATGTATTAATTGTATTAAAGTAATGAACATCATTGCAATATGTTGTGACACATTCCAACAAATCTGAGCTGTGAGATTAAAGTTGAACTTTATGCTTCCGGTAGTAAAACTGGCATATTAAATCATGTCACCTGGCTGTATTGTCTCTCTATGCAACACAGTCACGTTCGCTTCTTTTACTTACTTATCAGTAAGTGAACTGGTATGTAATTGCATGCGTGTTGAGCATTATAAGAACATGATGAAAATTCTGCAATTAAAGCAAACAAAGTTCAAAATTCCCCACTCGCCCCCCACTTTAGGGCGGTCTTATTCCTTACTTCAAGCTCGGGTCCTCTACCAGAGGCCTGGGAGCTTGAGGGTCCTGCTCAGTATCTTAGCTGTTCCTAGCACTGCACTCTTCTAGACAGAGATCTCAGATGTTGTTCCTAGAATGTGTTGGCGCCACTCTCCCAGTTTGGAGGTCACAGCCCCCAGTGTTCCTATTACCACGGGGACCACTTGTGCCTTCACCTTCCACATCTTTTCTAGCTCTTCTTTCAGCCTTTGGTATTTCTTTGGTATCACTTCATCAGAGTGATGGCACAGGGCAAGAACACAAAAAGCAGCAATCTGCAGAAATCTTCTCTGACCTCCTTTTGAGGTGTACAGGTCCTTCACTACAGGGCCAGCTGTTTAACCTCCCATCTGTACACAGACTTTTCACAGTTTCCTTTTGTTGAAAACTTGCCTGTTGGAAACTTTTGCTACCAGTTTATGTAATATTCTTATTCATATGCATTTAACATGTGTAGAAATAAGGTGGAAAATACAAACTACAAATGTATAATGTAAAAAACTAACAAATATTTTTTTTATTTGGACCCTTTATATGGCCTACAATGCCAAGCCATTTAATTGCATTATATATAACTTGTTCGAATGTTGTGGAAAATGTCTGATAAGCAGTAACCCTCATCACTCCACACACACTTTAACAATCATTAGTCAAAGTCTTTGGCTGGAAGAACAGCAATGTGGATCAAAGGGAATGTTCATGTGCATGTGATTGTATTTGTAACAGTGTGTTTGCAATGTACAAAAACACATTCACAGCAATAGTGGTTACATCACAGCAAGCCAAATGACACTAAAAGACAGTCTGAATAAATCATATTACCAGGTGACATGCAAATAGAAGACAGTGCTGTCTTTTCATGTCAAGTCCATCAAACATAAACCTAAACAAAAACACACAGCTAAATTGGCAGCCTTCATGTTCAAATCTAATAGAAACACAATAAGTTTCTGGTGGGGCAGTATGAAGGGAACTCCAAGCTGTCAGGCACTTTCAGGGTTGTAAGATGAGAGTTCACAAACAAACACAATCCATATTGAGTGATTGTATTCAGAGGAGCTCAGAGCTCACGTTGCATGTTGGAGCCTCATGCAAGCAAAAGCATCGCCCCAAGGCAATATAATCATCTTTCTAAAAGTGCTTTTGCTCACATGGAAAGGAGAACAGCATGTCATCTCATTGAAACTAATGTCCAGAAATGCATTAAAACAAAAAACAATTCTGCCTTCCCTCCTCTCCTGGGCATGGCTATACCATTCTATGCCCAAGAAACAAATTAGATTGAAGGGAGTGCCATCTCGTCTCTGTGTCATATTATAGAGGGTAATAATAACAATATGCAGGAGAATCAAAGTCACCATGTTTTTCTCTGTGCCAGTGCCACCTCCTCATCTCTTTTTTTCTTCTACTCTATCTCCATGGTACAGCCCAGTCTCCGGGTCCATGTCTCCTGGCAGCGCCTCACAGATTCTGGCCCGAAAGAAGAGAAGAGGGGTGACTGAATATAAGCCTGGGATCTTTCTAGTCTTGTCTTTTCGCTTGGGTCTAACTGTGTCTTTGCTTTTCATGTTTTTCTAGATCATAGAGAAGAGGCGCAGAGACCGGATCAACCACAGCTTGTCAGAGCTTCGGAGACTAGTGCCCAGTGCTTTTGAGAAACAGGTAAGTGCATATGAATCCAAGATCAGTGAAAATGGTGTTTCAATGACAGAAGTAAAAAACTGGCTTCATGCAGTCTGATACAACTGAATCAAATGTGGCTCATCTTCCCTTCAGGGTTCATCTAAGCTGGAGAAAGCAGAGATTTTGCAGATGACAGTGGACCACCTGAAACTGCTGCATGCCATGGGAGGAAAAGGTGAGAATTTATTTGTTTGCTTGCTTCCTTTAAAATTCACTTCATTTTCTATGGAAGATGGATTGGAACATGAATTTGAAATAATGATAGAAAACATCTAAAAAAGTAGACAATATATACACTGATCAGCCATAACATTATGACCACCTGCCTAATACTGGTTACAAAGGAGTCAATGTGGCAGTTGGTTTGCACTCGTGTCTCTCTGCAGCTCACTGTGCATCTTCTGTGAATCCATTTGCTTCCATAGTTCTACTGTCAGGAAGAGCAGAGATGTGTCTACAATTCAGTGAAAAACTGAATTATAATATTAAAAGGAGTGAAAACTGTAGTCGGGAGGACAAGTTAGAGAGAATTTTTTAGACAAATTCAACAGCCTCACCACTCTAGGTGTGATATCATCACTACAGCCCCTGACTCTTTTTCTTCATAGAGACCAATGAACAGTATTTCTTATTTTCAACCATTTTAACAAAAAATTTAAATACATTTAAATTTTTTGAAAAGTACAAATGGAAGTTAAAAGTTTAATCCACAGTAGGTCAACCTCATCATCAGTGAGCCGTGTCCATGACCCTGTTTCCAGTTCACCATCTGTCCTTCCTTAGACACTGTTGGTAGGTACTAACCTCTACAGACCAACAACACCCACCAAGACCTGCAGTGTGGGAGATGCTCTGACCCAGTCATCTCACCATCACACTCTGGCTGTTGTCAGAGTCACTCAGATCCTTACACTTGCCCATTTTTCCTGCTTCCAACACATCAACTTTGAGGACTGAATGTTCACTTGCTGCCTAATATACCCCACACACTGACAGGTGCCACTGTAACAGATAGTCAGTGTTATTCACTTCACCTGCCAGAGGTCATAATGTTATGCCTGATCAGTGTACACTCTTCATGGCTAACTTCCACCGATGTCATTCAGTGCATGACTAAACTCTTTTTCTCTGTCAGGTTACTTTGATGCAAGGGCCCTAGCAGTTGATTACAGGACCCTGGGGTTCAGGGAGTGTGTTGGAGAAGTGGTGCGGTACCTCAGTTCCCTCGAGGGGGAGTCCCCAGACCCTATAGGAGCCCGCCTGGTCTCCCACCTCTCCCATTGCGCAAGCGAGTTAGACCCTCTCCTCCTACAGACACCCCCAGTCTCTGCCTTGACCTTCCCTCCTTGGCCATGGGTGTCCTTCCCTCAGATCTCCCCCACCTCGCCGGCCTCCTCTTCACCTCCTTTCCCCAGCGGATGTAGAGATCTGGCCCTGCGGAGAAGCTATCCATCGCCCGCTTCCCTCTGTCTTGCCCCCCTGGCTGGCTGCCAGCAGGGTACACCACCGCTCCTCACGCCTACAACCCTAGCTACTATCCACAGAGTGCCCTCCCTTGCAGCTTCCCCAGCCCTAGCCCCCTCCAGACCAACCCAGCCATCCCCTCATAGTGCCACCAGGGCCTCACCTATTCCTCTCCCCACTCCATCCTCTTCTTCTACTTCTATCTCCTCTTCCTCTTCTTCCACTTCATCATCTTCTGCCCCACTGCAAGTCTCTTTCAGGCCCTTTGCACCTCTGGGATCTCCAGCATCCCAACACAGGGGTTTGAACAGATCAGCCAAGCCAGCCCAGGGTTGGGGGACTGAGATTGGAGCTTTCTGAGGTGTCATCTCCCACTTTGTGTCCAAATGAACTCTGTATAGTGGACTTGGAGCTACCATGCCCACCATGTAGCAACTATGATACTTTTGGGGAAAGATGCATTGAACCTTTGATGATTGTCTCTGGTTTTGAGGGATTCTAAAAGCCATATCAGAGTACTGGTGAAATCTTAAATAATCACAAACAATTCTATGTAATGTAAGAATGAATGAATGTGAAGGAACAGAAGATCTGAATAAATAAACATTCAGGATCTTGCTTGACATATACAAACACAGAGGAGTGTCCCATAGAGCCATAAATATAATGCTCACCAGAGTGAGGTTGGGTTTTTGCTGATGTTTTAACTGTGATATTTGTTTTTTCCCCAAAACATTTATACATTTGATTAATGATTTCCCAGAATGTCTGACAAAAATTACTATAAAGATGAAGTGCCTTTACCATTACCTACCCTTCTCTGTGTTTTCTCTGACTGAACACGCAAATGTCAACATGTTTTTGTAGATATATTATCTGATATCACTATAATGGCAAAGGAATGAACTATGTTTGTTACCCTCTTATTCATATTACCCATGCCTGCAAGCACTGCTTGCATGTTCCCCAGCCGTAGCCCCCTCGGTCTCCACTGACAGCTGATGGGAGCTCTGGTCTTGTGGCTGAAGAGGATAAACACGGTGGGAGCTGGTGATGTTTTTGGGATGCTGCAGCGAGCCAAACAGACCCATCACTTTACCCTCTAATTGCTGTCTGCTGTAATTAACATTACCTTCATATCAGTCTATGTATTGTCCTCTCTTCTGCTGTCTGGCTGCCTTTCTCTCTCTCCAATCTTGTGGTACACCAGCGGATATCTTCTCTCCCACCATGTCTGCACCACTGTCTACTCAACAATGAACAGACAGTAAAGAAGAGGGCGAAAAGGAAGGATGGAGAGAGGCTGAGAGAGGGGAAAAGAAAGAAAAACATCTGAAGGGCTGTGGTTGGGTGCTGATTCAGTATAGATGTTCAATAACAGGGTGGAAAAGAGTCAGGGCACAGGGGGTGGTTGGGGTGAGAAGGACTGAAGGTTTAAAAGGACAGGAAGAGAAATAACGTGAATTGCGGAGAGCGGGCCAACATTAATAGGGTGCACAAGAGACTTAGGAACAATGAGGAATGACAGTTGTAATAAGTGGTTTCTCAAGAAGATCAGCATAATTATGCTGTGCTTCACTAAAACAGCTCTGCTGGAATCAAAGAGCAGAGAAGAGCTTTTTGTGTGTTTACTGCCGGAGGACCCTTTGATCTACTTCAGGAGGCAATGTCTGTGGTCTGTGGTCCAAAAATGTGTGTTCCGCAAAGTGCATATTGTTTATTTGAGTGAGTGTGCTAGCGTGTGCTTAAGCCAGTCTCATGTGTTTGCTGCCCTGTGTGTGTGTGTTTGTCTCTGCCTTGCTGAGTGTTTTGTTTGTGTGGTGTTGTGTGCAGACATGTCTTGTGTGTAATGTGAATCTTCAGGGCTGGCGTCAGGACTGAACCGCAGTGGCGGCGTGGCCCTCGTGCGAGGCTGGCTGGTGGTGGGACAGACGGTATGGTGGTAGAATGTTTGTGGAGGATGCGTGTGCACACACACAGACAACACACAAACATAGGCTGGCTGGCACTATTCTAGCCTCTGAGTAGAGGAGCCAGAGTCACCACCACAGCTTCCAGGAAGGACAACCACAGCCACACTGCACTGGGTTTCCCACGGAAAGGGGAGGCTGGAGGGAGCAGAGAGGAAGGAGGGAAGGGAATGATGGAGAAAGGAGGGAAGTGCTGTGTGTTTGTGAATGTGTATGTGAAGCAAGGGTGTACACTGTGGTTCAAGCTGAATGAGGAAAAGAGGAGTGTTCAGCAGCTAAGAGGGCAGGAGAGAACAAATCAGTCTAAAATCAGAACGTGGGCGAACATTTCTCCCATGATGGGTGAAAAAACGCATCCATACATTAGTGTAGAATCTTTTATTTGATTAAAAGTGCAAAGTTTGATTTGAACATCTGTCTCTGTATGTGTGAGAGTAGAAGAGGCAGAATGGCTCTGGGTGCATGGCAGCTGATGGTGTTCTATACTGTATTAGGAGAGCAGAGACATTTTTCTTCTGTTCCTGGGAAATCCACATTCTCTAGAAGTTCAGTACTACATTATAAACTGGGAAAAGAAACACATACACACATTTAGATAATTTTCACCATGTGATGTTAGATGAACTTATCAAGCACAGCAGCAGTGAAAGAGAGGGTTCTGCAACTGCGACCAAAGAGCTGCTTTTTATTCTCCACATTTGCATATATGAACTATGTGTATGACTGATTGATGACATTTAGTGAGTTTTTGGCATCTTTTACTTGAGTAAATGATCTGAGTGTTTCTTGCACCACTGCTAAATGATAACTATTGTATTACCATAAATTAAAAATATTGAATGTTTGATGTTTTCTATATTTATAAAGTTTTAAAAAGTGTTGATCATTGTAATTTAATTTTCCACATTTGTTGTTAAATCCTACAGTAAAGGTGCTGATTAGATTTATTTGACTTAGTTGAAGGTTGTTTAACAGAAACCTTTTTTAACTAGTACCTAAAATAAGCATGTGACATACAGATGTTTATTGCTAGACTTGTTTTACAGAAGATTTATTTTCACACATATGTAATTATGATGAATATAACCTGCATAGGGTTCTGTTATTTTTGGTCTCATTGTGTTTTTACTACTCCTTTTTTTGCTTTGTACTAGGGTGTGGCATCCTCTTATAATTAAATGTTTATCCCTTCCTTTTTTATTACGAGGTTTGATATAGACAGCCTTGTGTCATGTGATGAGATGTGGAGGTCAGGTAACCATGTTCTGACCTATGAATGTGTGGGAAACCAGAGCTTTCCCGAGACACTGATGAAGATGTAATATTAAAATTTTCATTGATTTTTTCTACTGTTTTTGTATTATGTGATGAGATAGCAATTGATGTTTTGAAGAGGGTTTTAATGCTTCTCTGGGATTTGTTTTTGGCACTGTGCAGATCTCACCTGTTGCTTCCAGTGAACCTTACTTAAAGACCAATCGAATCAATAAAACAGGACATAAAAAGGTGCAGCAGTATTGCCACATACAGCACCACTGCCTGTTGACACCTTCAGTCACTGGCTGGCCATAACTACAGTCCAGCTGACTGATGTGTAATAACAAAGTAACATGCAGGGGGGCTGAGAATTCAGTATTATATCTATTATTTGCAAAGCAAGTGATGATAAACTCCTTAAAATCATTAAGCTAAAGAAGTCTGAGTTAAGTGCTTCTGCAAACTAGCACACATCTTGATTTTTATTTATACCAATAACCAGTTTGATTTGGCTGCTGTTTGTTCAGTAGATGCAATCTGCTGCACATCACATACCTTCCAAAAGTACAACAGTTAAAAAGTTTACAAAAAGGGATAAATATCTCTGACTCAATGCCAGTCGGGCAGAACTGATGAAGCCTCTTCGATGAGAAGTGGAACGTCTTCGACCTAAAAACCTAGTCCAGTTGATTTTTCTAAGTTTTTTCAGCTTACTATGACCTGGATGACTGAGAATCTGCATGGACAGGTTACAAAAATGTTTCTCAGAGTAATTTCACATTGAGTAATTCAAAGGAAAGCTTTTAAAAGTTCAAGTGTCCTGATTGTTGTGTCATATTTTTCACCTACATTTTTCAGTGGATCACTAGTTTTCTGATAGACAGGATCCCACATTCTTTTCAAAAGTTTGATTGACATCTGTAATCTCTGTCTCTGAATTGTTACAATGCAAAGCAATTGTCTGCTTCTGCCATCTGCTGGTCTAAACATACTTCTACAACAGCCTGTCCAACACCTGGTAGCAACAACTTGAAATTATAATAACACCTATTTTGATGTAAACATATTTATGAAATCAGTATGTGATGTGAAACTGCACTAACTGGAATAAATGTGTACTACAGAAAAATAAAAAACTAAATGATTATTAACAAATTCATTTCAAACAAGACTGAATTAGTAGACAATACACTAAAAAGTGAGTTTGTAAGCTATGTAGGCACCTCGAGGCTAGAACTGTTGAGTAGCATTGCTTTATGTGAACTTTTATTCCCCACAGCTAAATATTTCATCAAGTAGAAGTACCTGTATTGTATCTCTGTACAAATGTCTCTATTAAAAGTGGGCTAAAATATGAATCTGTAAATAGTTGCTTTCAAATGAACAGAACAGGCTGGGAACAATCTTTTTCTTTTATTGGCCTTGTTTACACAGAAACCTTTTGTAGGTTAAGTTGCAGATAATTAAGTGTGCTGATCACACAGCTGGACAGTTCCTCAGGTGGAAGCCGGACACAGTATTGTTCAGTTTGACAACTCTAGGAGGAGCAGGTATGGTGATGACACGCTTGAGATAGCAGCGGCGCCTAGCACACAAAACACAGCATCTTTAATCACACAAATAGAGTTGCCATCAAATCTTATAGTGGAGCTACAGTAGTGTCTGATTAATGATCAAGTTCAATGCTATGTGATTTTCAGGTACTGAATACTGGTACAATTTTATTTCCAAAAAGTTGGCAATATTTGTGTTTATGTTTATGCAGGGTTGCATACATGTACAAAGAACACTGTACCTTTGGGAAGGGTCAGAGCAGGTTTCCTTGACATAAGTATAGAACAGGCATTTAGGATCTGCAGAGCAGGTCCTCTGACACGTGTCTGCATCATCCATCAGCTCAAAGCGAATGTCAGAACTGGTGAAGTCTACGCTTTCATAAGCCACCTTAACCCAGTCTGTTAGCAGAGAGAGACAGAGTTAAACTACTGCTGCTGGTTAAACCAAAGAAACACTTCACTAACATTAAGCTGAAAGGACAGATACAGTAGAGAAACAATTGTATGTGCTAAATAATTCCAGTCTGTGTAATATTAGATTACATAAATGCCAAAAATAAAATCCCCACCACCACCTCTGAAGATCTGTGAAAAGGATGTGCATGGCCTTTTTAAAAAACAAAAGATCAGGAGGGAACCAGGCCCAGACGGTGTGACCCCCTCTTGCTTGAAATTCTGAGCTTATCACTTGGCCCCCATCTTCAGTAGATCTTCAAAAGATCACTGGAGCTGTGTGAAGTCCCCTCCCGCTACAAATGCTCCACATTATTCCGACCCCCAGAAACCTTCTATCAGCACATTGAATGACCACAGCCTTGTCGCCCTGAGTTATGAAGTCCTTTGAGGGACTGGTGTTGGCCCACCTGAAGGACATTGTAGACCCCCTGCTGGATGTCCTGCAGTTTGCCTACCAGGCAAACAGGTCAGTGGATGATGCAGTCAGCATGCCACTGCATTACAACCTGCAACACCTGGACTCCCTGGGGATATGTGCATGCGTCCTCTTTGTGGACTTCAGCTTGGTGTTCAACACCATGCTGCTGTTCTCCCACTACACCAGCGACTGCACCTCAGAGGACCCCCTCTGTTATACTCCTGAAGTTCGCAAATGGTTCAACGGTCATTGGCCTCATCAGAGACTGTGAAAAGTCTGTGTACAGATGGGAGGTTAAACAGCTGGCCCTGTAGTGAAGGACCTGTACACCTCAAAAGGAGGTCAGAGAAGATTTCTGCAGATTGCTGCTTTTTGTGTTCTTGCCCTGTGCCATCACTCTGATGAAGTGATACCAAAGAAATACCAAAGGCTGAAAGAAGAGCTAGAAAAGATGTGGAAGGTGAAGGCACAAGTGGTCCCCGTGGTAATAGGAACACTGGGGGCTGTGACCTCCAAACTGGGAGAGTGGCGCCAACACATTCTAGGAACAACATCTGAGATCTCTGTCTAGAAGAGTGCAGTGCTAGGAACAGCTAAGATACTGAGCAGGACCCTCAAGCTCCCAGGCCTCTGGTAGAGGACCCGAGCTTGAAGTAAGGAATAAGACCGCCCTAAAGTGGGGGGCGAGTGGGGAATTTTGAACTTTGTTTGCTTTAATTGCAGAATTTTCATCATGTTCTTATAATGCTCAACACGCATGCAATTACATACCAGTTCACTTACTGACAAGTAAGTAAAAGAAGCGAACGTGACTGTGTTGCATAGAGAGACAATACAGCCAGGTGACATGATTTAATATGCCAGTTTTGCTACCGGAAGCATAAAGTTCAGTTTTAAATATTTCCAGCAGTTTTTCAACTTGTGCATAGCAGCATCTAAAATACTTACAGTTCACTGTCAAATAGGTTTAAAGCAAAATTGTCTTGAGCTACTAAATATACATGGATACCATGTCATTTTAACTGGAGAGCATGTGATAAAATTTCCAAGTGAGGGCGAGTGGGGAATTTTTTTTTCTACTTATAAATACTTTTTCTTACATTCTTTTCCTATTTGTGAATGCACACGTTTTATTATTGTTTATTTTTCATTGTTTCTTTTTTGTTTGCTTTAATTGTTATTTTCTATTTCCTGTTGCCTACAAACACATTGAGAGTCTCTGTACCCAAGTCAAACTCCTTGTATGTTCAAACATACTTGGCCTTTAAAGATGATTCTATTGTAAAGCGTTCACCACTTATCTACATAGGCAATATTAACATTGGGGGAAAATGGGTGAAGCTTTGTTTATCAAAGTTTCTGAAATGACTGAATAATGTTGGCATTTAATAAAAGGGTTACCAAAGTCATTAGAATGCATCATTTTGGATATCTGTAGAAAGGTTTAGCCAACCACTTGGCAGAATTTAAGATATTTCGACTGTGAAAACCTGATAGACCTGCTGACCAGTTGACAAATAGACAATGCTGCTTGCATGGCTGAAAAAAACACTGGACATTAAACTAGTGAGTTAATTGATCCCTAGCCCTAAATTAGCTTAGAAGGTTTTTGGTTTATTGTAAGTGTGGCTTTCCTTATAGTTTTTGGTGTTGGTTAGTGGTACATACTTTGATGATCTAGCTGACAGAAATATGTTGATATCCCAGATGTTACTCCTTGTTTGGCTGTGGTCATCATTTCATTTGGATTATTCTTCAGGTAACATTTGAAGTCATTACTACAAATAAAAGAGAAAGAAAATGGAGCCTTGATCAAATTATGTCTAAATTTTGAGATAACATAAATTCAAGAATAGGTATGAATGAAAGGGAAACCAAACGTTAGGACATTAGGACAGTTAAAACACTGCTGCAAGGACAACAAATAGGCTGATATATTTTGCATTTTGTAATTACTTGTTGTATTGTCATACAGGACAAATGTCTTCCTGCCATATAAGAGAGAGTAAAATGCCACCTTGAAAACACTTGTGAAACACACAGTACCTGTGGTAAGAGAAGAAGGTACACGTTGGATGAGCAGAGCACAGTGCCAGACAGTATTCAGGAGAGGCAGCCTGCAGGGTCTCGAAGTCATGTCCTGGGATGTCAGTATTTGGAAATAATCTGTGCTGACATTCTGTACAAAACACAGGTAATATAATAAGAGAGCATACATAACAACCTGCAAGATGTTTTTGTAATTCCACAGCTTTTGCTATGACTGTTTGCATACCTGACTCAAATGTTTCAAATGTTAAATGCATTTTGTGGGAGAATCCAGATACTACATTGTTCTTTCTTTGAACAACTGGAGTCCTTGGTATTGTCCAACTGAATTTAAGGTGGCACCTATACCTAGAACACAACAACAAATGACATCTTTATTCACACTGTGAAGACAGTCATATTGTACAATGTTACTGTGAGATCATCAGGGTTATCTCAGCTTGGGCTTGGAGACAAACTGTGGCCTTGGAGGTTTGAAAGATGAATTGTAGGAAACATAGGACCTAGGATTTTTGGAGATTGACAATTGCTGGTGACTAAAAGTCTGATGTTTTGGCCATTTTTATTTAGTTTATGGAGGAGAAATAAATACCCTGTAAAAGAGTCCATTTTGCACATCCTCCCGCCTTAATGATTATCACAAAACTGTGACATCCTCGGTTCAATGTGCAAGGTGGACCTTCGTTGCGTATGATATCCCTCATACCCTCTCCCCCAATTTATCCTGTTAATTGCTACACTGTCAGTTTTCAAATAATTGCAAAAGGTCAAAGCCATTCATCCACATTTATCTACCTTGGTGCTCCTAATGCTTGTTGACCTGAATTTTGCAAGTTAATGAATTTGCAATACATAAACATTAACCAATGGAATTTACTGTTAACAAGTTACATTTTCACAAATAGCAGCAAGGGATTAAGGCTTTATACTATTTGTTTGTCCTCTCTTTCACTGAATACCTTTATGAAGATGAGTATCTCTTTCCCCACTGAGATTCATCTCAAATAGTGACATTACTTAAGAATCCACAGAAGCCCTACCTGATTTCTTTTAGTCCAAACTCCTCGTTTGTAAAAGTAAAAAATTGACACCCATTGTCATGTGTGCAGACCCTCTGACATTCTTCATAGTCAGCTGTGAACAAAAATTTGTAGTCTGCCCCATTGAAGTCTACATTCTGGTACACCTTAGACAGACAAAGATCTGGCAGACAGAACACCCAATGCAAACATGGAGAGTTATACACAGCATGACCATACTTCATTAAGTAATAAATGGTTTTGCAATGTCTTAAAGTGGTTGTATGCTTACCCAGGTCTGAGATGCAGGGTTTCAGAGAAAACCCAGAGGTGACACCCTGTAGTCCAGTCTGGATACTGGGTTGTCCCGAGGGAGTGGACTTGAGGTAGCAGTAGAAGTGCCTGAGGGTAATTTTTGTGTTCTTGAGTCTTCTTTTTCATTTACACTATGTAGTGCCTTCTTTTGTGAAAGTATTTTATATATAATGCATTATTCTTCACAAGTATTACTTAGACTGAGTTTCTGTCACTGTCATACCTGTTATCTCTGGTCCAGTCAGGTCGAACAAAGGTGAAGAAGAGGCAGGAAGGGTGTTGGGTGCACAGCAGCTGACAGTGCTCCACATCGGGAGAGTGGAGGAATGTAATGTCCGTTCCGGGGAAATCCACATTCTCCAGAAGCTCTCGATTACATTCTGAAGAAATTAAACTACTATTACCATATGCAAATGAGGAAAAAGGCAGTAAAACATGTGCCCACACATAGTTAGCCACTTTCCTGTACAGTAAACACAATTTAAAGTGTGTTGATTACCTTGACTAAAAGAGAGACTGCAGAGGCAGAGCAGACCCACCAAAATCAAATGGGTTTCCATCTTGTCAGTTTCTGCTGATATTCTGCAGAAGAAGGTATGATCTCTGAAGCACAGCTGTAGTCAAGGGGTTGGTTTCTCAACTGCAGGTTGGCCAATAGACCGTTTTGTAACCCCAGCATTTGGACATTTGATTTGTTTATGCAACTGATTGTTGACACATAGGGTTATGATGAAATTTCATGCCATGAGATCTTGCAATATTAAAATGTGATGATATTTATCGTCAAGATGAAAAGCTGTCTTGTGATATTAGTAGCTATATAACAGAACCAGAGCAGAAGCCAGCATGATAGAGTGTGAGGGTGAAATTTATCATAGAAGAGAAGATACCCCCACCACGTTTTTATGTTCAGTTTGTGAAAAAAAGGAGTTCAGTGATTGGTTCACCATGGCCCCTGCAGCTAGTGGAATGAATCATAATGAAATAAAACAAGCCTTAAAGATAGATTATATAGAACTGACATTTGTTAAGTGAGCCTACAGGAGAGCTAACTTACAATTCAGCGTGAAACATGCATTATAATGACTTCCTACCTGCCTGTACAGATGAGTCATAGCTCAGTTTTAGTGATTGGCCAGAGCTCAAATCAACTTTGACTTTCTAACAACAGTTGATTCAATTTAAATTTTAAAGACAGTCCCATCTAAGGCTTTAACACTTGTAACATTTGTAACAACAATGAAGCAAAAATATCTATTTACAAAGAAATTAGGTATATTGCATCACTCTGTGTGTGTTTAGTGTGCATTTACCTTGTGTCCTCTGCTCTCTCAGTCAGGCTTGTACAGAACTCTATTGCGCAAATTCTGTAAACAATTCCTGTCATTGGGGGCTGTTTTCCAATGGTCTAGTGGCAATTTCTAACTTGAATACATTTCATAATACTTTCACAATAACCCCTTTCTCCCTTCTCTGTGTGAGCTACAGAATAAAACTGCCACCTATCTCTGCTGCAGCCCCTCCTAGCTGCTTGTTCTTCCTCCTTTTCAATCCTCTAAATAAACATATCCATAAAAATATATATAGTTGCATGTATCAATAATTTTACTCCAAAGTCCATATGTGTTTTTCATTTCACTGCTGCTGATGAGATCAGGAGGTGTATGTGAATTGATAGGAGACAGCAGAATGAATCTGGCAGCACAACAGTATTTCCACTGTGCTCTATGCATCTGGTGTCTCTGACAACATGTTCCATGATTTTATACAAAACAAAAATATACAAAAACAAATTAAAATCATAGTTGGCCAAATATTTACAGTAATTAGAAGATCTACCAACACTGTTCTCTGTAAAGATTTCCCCTGAGGTGGTTCCATAAATACTATCATTGCTAGGGTAGTTGTTAAAGCTTTAACAAAATTCTTTACTACCTCGGGCCTGCCCACAACCACCCATAGCTTTATATAATGGGGATTGATCAGAAGATGTGTAGAACTTGTCTTCCTCAGTCAGTCAAGAGATTTCTTCAAACTTTAAAATCAGTGTTGCACAAACACTGTCTAGAGGGACTGGGATGAAAGCATCCCCTTTGTCCTTTTTGCTGTTTCACAAATCTGTAACTATGTTTGAAGGAGTATTTGTACTCTCTCCTTGAAAATCTAGTCACCACCAAGAGGAGAAAACACAGAACAAACATTGGCCTGTATCGTCTCTTAAGCTCCCCTTTACTGCCAAATTGGAATCTGCAAGCTGAAAGCCAACTTCAGTGTTGTTATAAATGGGGAAACAAACTTCATGCTTCAGAATCTACTCCCAAGTCTTGGGGTCTAAAGCTAACCCAAACAGGTATACAAACAGCAGTGGTGAATTTGAGTTTAGTAGCCTCTGCTGTCAAAACTGTGACATTGCAGTAGAGTAATGAAAGATTTTTTTATACTTGATTGTGTGGATGCTGTAAAGCATCCACACTATGCTCTCCTGTTCTTTATTTGTTTGGATGTAAAGCAACCATACTATGTTATCGTATTCTTTATTGTGTGGATGCGAAGTAACCATACTATGTTATCCTATTCTTTATTGTGTGGATGCTAACTAACCACACTATGTTATCCTATTCTTTGTTATTGTGTGGACGCTGTAGCATCCACACTATGTTTTCCTCTTCTTTATTGTATGGATGCTTTTCAGCATCAATACAACACTATTGTTATCCTCTTATTTATTATTATTATTATTGTATGGATGCTGATTCAGCATCCCTACTATGTTATCGTATTATTTATTATTATTGTGTGGATGCAAAGCAACCACACTATTGTTATCCTATTATTTATTTATTTTTATTGTATAGATGCTGATTCAGCATCCATACTATGTTGTACTGGTCTTTATTATTATTATTGTGTGGATGCTGTGCAGCCC